GCAAATGTCCCATCTCTCTGGGTGTGGGCGGAATCCGCGAGAGGGCTTGTGTCTCTCCTGCAGATACTCGCGCACCATCTCCGGACATGTCCAGTTCCACCCCCATAGGAGAAAATCAAGCTTCAGCCTCAGCAGCACATCTTGAAATGCGCGTAGACCGATCTGCGGCACCCTGAGTGGAGACACTCGCAGCTGGGGAACCTTCGACATTGCGTTGCCTGCACACACAAACGTTCTCCCTTTCGCTCGCTCTCTCACAATCGCCACTGCGCGTCGGCCGCTCAAGCACTGACTGCTCACCCTCTCTGCGCTCAATCTCAAGATCGCTACTCGCAATTCTTTCAAGGTCCGCCAAGATCCTTGCGCAACTCGTCTCCGCACTCTCTACTCTCACTGCAGGTCGCTCCGCCCTTGCGCGTAATCTTGGAAACTGGAAATCGCAAAGTCAAGAATGAGAGAATGAGACTGGAGCGCAGTCTTTTCTTCTCTGATTTCAAGAACGTCCAACGTTCTTAACGTACGCAGCCGGCTATACGGCTTAACGGTTCGCCCTTTGCATGCGCGAATTCACGTCTCCGCACTGCGCGCATTCGCATGCGTAAACGTTGAATTCTCCCGCCGCCGCCACCTTCCGGACTCGAGTCCGCTGCAGGGTATACGTCGGCCCTGTTGTCTTTTCCTAACCCGTCCCTCACCGGAGGCGTGTCGCCGCTGGTGCGTTCATTATCCGTCGGCGCCTTGCTGGAGGCGCACATCCAGTCGGATCGAATTACGCCGGCGCGCAGTCGTACCGCCTATTTTGTCCTTTATGCCTCGTCCGTTGCTGCCGGCGCATATCCGCCAGCGCAACTCATGCCAGCGCATCCGGCCGTCAGCGCCACGTCGGAGGCGTACATCCGACCGGCGCTTTCCTTCCATGAACCGCCGCCAAAGGCGCTTCCGACTCTGAGTTGGTTTCCTCCTATGAGCGCGTGATTCCGCCGAAGGCGCATCGCCGAGGGCGTACGGAAATCCTTTCCGGCTGTGAACCCTAGCGCGAACGGCGCATGTCCGGCTACGAGTTTTCTGACGCTCATAACTTCTCCAATCCTGATCCATCTCCGACGCTCTTGGGCTCGTTAGAACGAGCGTCCCGAGCTCTTTCTAATGCAACTTCAACCAACTGGATCTACCGTGTATCCCGATTGTTATGAAGGTTTCCCCTTTCCGCGCTAGCGGCGCTTCGCCGAAGGCGCACTCATGGTCGGACGCCTTTAGAGGTCCGGGCCCTTCTCCTGACGTCTTTAGCAAAACCTCCTCCTGAGGTGTCTGCGCCGGAAGCGTAGCTTCCTTATACGCTGGAGGCGCGTGAGTAGAGATACCTCAGAAAAGGAGCTTTTGCTAAAGGCGCCGAAGACATTGGTACATCCGACTGCGTGATTCTTTGTGTCCTCGTGACGATCTCATCAATCCACTCTATTTAACGTACCCTTTTCTAACTACAAACACTGCGTCGGTACTAGTTTTCTAAAATTGTTTAAATTCTGCAAAAAAACAAAAAGTGTGTTACCACATGTTCTCGTACGCAGATACTTGTATGTGGAGAAGGATGAGACTGCACTCTGAGTCTTCTCACGACATAATGCCTTAGTTGATGCAGCGTTATGTTTCATTGCTATCACGATCAGCTGTTCAAGTATACTAGAAGGCGTTAACTTTAAAATTTAATTGTTGGGGATGCTAGATCTCGATCGGGTTGGCCTTATTGATTGCAGATCTGTCTCTTTTTTGGTCTTGATGACCTAATATCAATTGTGCCAAAATTTAGCAAAAGACCTGACACTTGTCACCTCCCACATTCATCAGATTCAATCAGCTCACCACGAATTACTAATCCGTCCTTTCCTTTGACTTACTCTAAAATTCTTCACATTCCTCCTAGGGCTCACATCCAATTGTGAATACTCTTTGACCAAAAGATCTATTTCTCTTCTACTTCTGAACTCAATCCAAAATTTCCTCTTCTGCGATTTGAACCAGTACTAACACCGTGCGCATCTGGAAGAGTTGAGCAGATCTTCAATCCACACACAATCCCACGACTGCGATTGACTGCAAACTCATCTCAGCTTCTTTTTGACAATTTCCAACATACTGAAAGCTATTCACTTTGCGAAAGACTCAACTCAAAGATTGACAATCGTTGGAGTACCCACTACCATACTCTCCAATAGGAGTGATCCAACCTAGACTCTACCTAGGATTAACTCAACTAGAGTTAACTCTATCCCGATGTTAAATATAGACAACACGTATACACATGACACTATTTTAATTAACTTCATTGACAATTTCCGCCATTCTACAACAAAACCTGAACGACAGTTCTTTGAGTAAAAGTATCCGTGCAAATCCCACTGATCTCAAATACGAAGATTCACATCAAATCAAACCAAACCCATCCACACCTCAAAAACTACAGGTCAAAGCTAGCGGGACACCATAGCCAACATACTGAAAGCTATTCACTTTGCGAAAGACTCAACTCAAAGATTGACAATCGTTGGAGTACCCACTACCATACTCTCCAATAGGAGTGATCCAACCTAGACTCTACCTAGGATTAACTCAACTAGAGTTAACTCTATCCCGATGTTAAATATAGACAACACGTATACACATGACACTATTTTAATTAACTTCATTGACATCTGTTTCTTGAGTTTTCAATATCTAACTATCATTTTATTATTTTAGAGCTAATGATTTTCATTTTTTAAAAAACATGTGGTCTTGATATATATCTGAATCAAGTATGAATATTGATGAATGAAATTGCTAGGGATGTTCGTCAAGAAATCATAATGTAGTTTTGAGTATTTTTCAAACAATTCATTTACATTTTAACATTCAAGTACAGTCAATTTTTGCTACATTTATAGTAAGCATTTATCATATAAAGCATTCAGAAAGAGAAAAGATATTTCCAGTGCGTGTAGAAATTATATAGCCATTTAATATGAAATAAAATTAATAATCAAATGAAATATTTCTAGTTCAAGAGGGTAGATGTAAAGCCAGAAAAAATAAAAAATAAAAAATTCGATAAATAAAGCTTAAATACTATGATGTTTTTTTCATTTCATAAAGATTCTTAGGTGTATCTCTTATGATACTTCTGGCAACAAAGTTATCAAAACTATCATGAAGTTCACCAACTATATTGAACACTACTCAGTCAAAAACTTCTATATGGAATTCACATATGTTAATATATATACAGCATTAGCTACCAAGAAAAAATGGGCTCAATTCTAATTATATCCAACCTTGACTAGAAGACATAATTTTCGAGGAGGACGAAAGTCTGCAGTAGTGATCCGATTTAAAGTTTGAAATTCAAGAACTTTATTTGAGAAAATTGATGTTTTCGAACTTTGACTTTCAGATGCAGATTTAACAAGTGATGAGAAATCTGCGTCAATGTGAAATTTTCGTTGTTTCACATGATTAGTTGGACAATCAAGAATAAACATCTGTATTTCATATCCGGTCTTAAGTATTGATGGATGAAATAATCAATTGGGCTGAGGTGATTGTGGATCAATATGCACCCAAACACGTTATTTGTGGAAAAAAGTTCTTTGAACAACCTTGGTGAAGCACATTATCATTAGAGTGTGTCTCTTTGTGTTAATTCAGAAACTTTGGCACCAAATAAATATCCAAATTTTAGTTCATGTTACAAACTTTAATAAGTTCCAAAATAATGACAGTGGTAATATTACTTCAGTACAAAACAAAATCTTACCTTCTCATACATACCAAGATTTTTGGTGTAGAAAAGCATAAGATTTCATAAAAAATTGGCGTGAAGTTGGATGTATGAAAAATATTAGTTAGATAACTCTCAGTTACTGTTGACATGACTCACAGTAACTTACCTGTCAAGAGTAAAAAATTATGATAATCTGGAGTCATCATTTTCTTTAGCTGTGAACAAAAAAACATGACCTGAAACATACGTTTAAAAATGTAGAGTCTCCTTCATGAGGGTCTTCAAACTGAACGGTGCTGGGCCTGTTTGGAAGAATCAGTTTAAATCCAGAAACCTTAGATCTGTCAGATTGTGATCTTCAATAAGTTCTTATTCTATTCTACGGATATTCCTGTATTTTGCTTCACTCTAAAGTAGTTCCTGTATTTTTCTCTCTTGCTGGCCGGAGCCAGCCTCATCCGTAGAAACTGGAGCCATCATGATGGCTCCAGTCCCCCGGAAGGGGCCACTTTGCTGAAAATCCTACCACGTTTTTATGGTGGAACTGCATTTGCAATTCTTCAAGGTCCTAAACTTCCGCTTTCTCTATATCTTGCTCAAATTTAAAGAAGAGAACGGAATCTGTTTTGGGTGTCTAGGTTTTCTCTCCGACTTTCACTGCGACTTTCATACATAATAATTAGTTTAGCAAAGACCCATGGTATCCTGATGAATCATCAGTGATGATTAAGCCCATACAGTATCACGATTAAAAAGTGTTTTGTACAGTAGTTATGATATCCCAACAATCTGAGTACGTGATTTTGTTTCAGTACTCTCCTTTTCGTGGTGTAGGCTGGGACGATATCAGAAAGACTAAAAGCTGTACTTCCTGGTATCGTAATTTTGTTCAATGAGCAGTCTTTAAACTCAGCTTGCAATACAATAAAAGCTCGATGCAAGACCGGAGAAAATATTTCTTGCAGCAGCTAAGAAGGTTGGACTTACTGTATGCACTAATTGTTTTTTGGGAAACTGCGAGACTGAGCTCTCGATATTGATATCTGCGTGGCACGTTAACCAGTATCCTAAACTTCAAGGTAGATATAAAGTAGAATCAATGCTGTAATAATTGATGCGTCGCGGACAATAATACTACGGGGGTCCAATTACCTTTGAACGGCTGAGACTTTTGTGCTTTTGGTGCTGTACCGAGGAGTATAAAGATGTGAATCCGCTGAACGTATCTATCATCAACTGCTGTACTTTGTCTCGAGCTCTTCGCGGAATATCGACCAGAACAGCTACTAGGAAAGAAACTGTTGGATCTGCACTGCTTGCTGAAATTTTCATCATGGGTTCAAAGGTTGTTATAGTGGCTATGTTGCTCGTGGTGTTCTCCATCGGAATCAAAGCCTCTGATCCCGAGCTCACCAGGGATTACTCGGCGCCTACCGGGATTGATGGCAACTACTTCAAGTCCACCGTGCTGAAAGGCGTTCCCACCGCATCAGCCAAATTCGCCACTGTCACTGGACTTAATCAGAACAACTTCCCTGCTCTCGTCGGATTGGGGGTCTCGTCTGCACTGCTGCAGTTTCCTCCTGGGAGCATCAACCCGGTCCACTACCACCCACGCGCTTCCGAGCTCTTCTACGTTATCCAAGGTTGTCTGGAGGTCGGTCTCGTGGACACCATGAACAAGCTCTTCACCGCCACAATCTGCGAAGGAGAATCTTTCGTCTTCCCCAAGGCGATGACTCACTTCCAGGTCAACAAAGGAAATGTCATTGCTAAGGGAATTGTCGCGTTCAGTAGTTCCAACCCTGGTACCAGCAGACTGCCCAACGTTCTCTTCAAGTCCGGAATTGCCGATGAGCCTCTTATGAAGTCATTTGGAGTGGCCAAGGTCACCATCGACGAACTGAGAAGTGGCGTAGTTAACTAAAATTGGTTTTAGAATTAGTCCACTTCGACTTAGCATCTATCCAACTCAGATACGTCCTTGGAATCAGAATAAGAGCCTGCTACTATTCAATTCCAGCATATGTCAGATTAGCTTTGTTTCCGTCTGCAATCCCGCTGAGTTTTTATTGTAAATTTTGCAGTCGTTGATTCCGACCTGAAAGGGTGACTTTTGATGGATATCACACCACAATAATAAAGATCAAATCTATCTTCATTCATTGTCAATCCTAAAATGATGTCCGGGTTATAGAGGAGACTAGCACATGACCACGAGTTCTTAAGTACTTGTGAATCTCTCGCTGTAAACGTCCTTACATGTTGTGGCTTCAAAGTAATAGATAGCTATGGTAATGAGATCTGGAACACATTCCGTCGCTCTCCATGCAAGCTAACGAACGTACAGAAACTTTAACGATAGTTAAAATATACACTTCTGTCGTGGAAATTGAAATCCGGGTACACAGATATAAGATATATGACAAAATGTGAAAGATACAGCCCAGATGAATATGTGACGTCCACGGTGAAGATTGTTATAGATACTTACAGCTATGCAACGCACAGCAGGCATAAACCTTTCAAACTCACCTGCTTTCAATCCTTTCTGTTTTGTATAAATACTACATGCTTGATGTAATCTACAGCAGCTTCACATATGTGTACTGATTTGGAGGAGTAATGAGGATGCATAGACTTGGAATCCTGTTACGAACAGGACGTAGTTCATTCTCGATTCCATTACTTCCGTCAAGTTCAGCGGTGAAACCAATCCCCATAACAAGCTTGAGGATCGGACAAGTAGCAGTAACAAATGGCATCGATCTTGACCAGCAGCCTCTGATATTTGTGATGTTTGTTAGCCAAATCATGCGAGCAACGTGCATGTTTATAATTATCAGGATTTGGTTCTCACGGCTGGAATAGTTTGAGCTTCAATTGATTTTTACGTCCTCCAGATACATAATCATGCCTCGATGCCAAGTTCGCAACCTTTAGAGATCATTTCGTAGGACCTGTGCTCTGCATGCACATTTTATACTGAAGAGTAAACTGTGCACATAATCTGAACTCTAGGAAGATATTTGAAGCTCGATCTGAAGAATGCGGGAAGAAATATTTTAAAATAGAAAACTTTTCTCGAGGATACATCTCACAGCGTCTTCTACATATTTGTTGGTCTCGTAGACCTGATTTTGACGAATCTGTTTACCAGGACGATCACAAGAAATTGGACCTTTCCTTCCACACTTCAGAGTATGGATCAGATGGCTTTCTTCATATCCACCAACGTTGAAGAGTTCTCCTTTTTTGAAAAGAGTCTTGAACTCATGTAGCTCATAAGATAAGTCGAGGGACAAGATACTGTCTGACTGCGTCATGAAGCAATCATTGTGTTTGGCTTGTCCTTGCTGTTTCAAACGTGCATACAAATCATTGTCTTTTGATCAGACCGCTGAAGAATGGATGCCACTGATTAGTCTCATTTATCGTGTTCTTCTGCCATTATGGGTCTTCAAGCCAATCGTTATCTCCCACTGATTGGACTGCACATTTTGATAGAATTCATGACACGTCTCACCTAGAGCTGAGTCCTCAAAAAATCATGCTACATATTGGCCTACACTTGAATGTCGAAAATGAAAATGGTAGAGGCATAAACGAAGATCGAGATGTAACTTTAATAACTACATAAATTTTGAGTTCTGTGATAAGCCTTTTTCTTCTTCTCACGTGTCACAAGTGGTAACCGTCGGATCGATGAAATCCTCAACACTGTGTAATCATGCACACCAGGTAATCACTAATCCACTTTTCATGCTCTCCAAGGAGCCGTCTGATTTATTTACCTTAGATGAACATAAATCTTGAAAATTTTACGGACGTAAGTCTGTTGTTCTGTAATATTTTGGCTTATGCTTGATGTTGAATGAAGATCATCGCAGGCAGAGCATCTCAATTAGTTTCATTGTAAACTGTCAAGGAAAACTACGTGCCTGAACTGATGCTGCAGGGACTGGTCAATCAAATTAGCTTCCGGTTTTTGTGGATATAAGACACGTGGTTACTCACGCAGTTTGAAGTCTGTATGAAATCTACGTGACACGTTTGGAAGCTAAAAATCCATATCTTACACTTCGAGTAAACGATGCGTGGAGTTTCCTTTGGATTCTCGATCCTGTGTCTTTCCGAGTTCCTAATGGGCTTGACCATCTTACTCAATCATCCACACTACTGTTCTATCCTTAGTGATACTCTGCACGAACTCAACTTTATGCAATATGATATTTCGTCTCTCTAGTAAAGAATATAAAGTCTCGATTTTAGATTGGAAGTACACTCTCAGTTGTCCACTGCTGTACTCGAGAAGAGTGGCTTTAAATAGTCTCTTCTTATACAATCTGACTACTGCCATAAGCAAATTTTACGAGAACTTTGAAGTCTTTCGTCATGGCCTCGAGGATTGCCTTCGCCAGTCTCTTCATGGTGGTTTTCGCCATCGGAGTCAAAGCCTCTGATCCCGAGCTCACCAGCGACTACACGGCGCCCTTAGCCGGTATTGATGGCACCTACTTCAAGTCCACCGTGCTGAAAGGCGTTCCCGTAACATCAGCCAGATTCGCTACTGTCACTGGACTTAACCAGAATAACTTCCCTGCTCTCGTCGGATTGGGGGTCTCGTCTGCACTGCTGCAGTTTCCTCCTGGAAGCATCAACCCGGTTCACTACCACCCACGCGCTTCCGAGGTCTTCTACGTTCTCCAAGGTTGTCTTGACGTCGGTTTCGTGGACACCATGAACAAGCTCTTCACCGCCACCATTTGCGAAGGTGAATCTTTCGTCTTCCCCAAGGCGATGACTCACTTCCAGATCAACAGAGGACTTGTCACGGCCAAGGGAATTGTCGCGTTCAGTAGTTCCAACCCTGGTACCAGCAGATTGCCAAATGTTCTCTTCAAATCGGGAATTCCCGATGATGTTCTCATGCAGTCCTTCGGAGCGGGAAAGCTCACCATCAACCTGTTAAAATTTGGCATCGTGAACTAATTGAGTTCATAGAAGATGTTTCTTTGGATCAATTTCAGGAAGAATATTCTTTATAGCAAATCTGTAGTCGTCTGAGGTTTAATAAGACTTTGCTAGCGATGTCTGTTTTTGGTCTTGCGAACAACGTATAGTTGAGCCTTTCTAAATAGTATATATTTCAGTCCTGTCATGTTTAAGACCAGTGCATAAGTCTCTCTTAAAAGCTAGAAGAGTCCTCCAGTCGATCGATGAAATTTGCTCGAGAGTTAGGAAGTCTGCAGATTTGATATAGAGGTAAGCCTACCGTATACAGATTCCAGACTGTTTTGCCCGTAAGATGAATAAAGCGTAAAGATTCTTAACGGCCTTGACTCGTAGTCAAGAAATTGATTGTATCAGGCGACAGTAAAACAGCTTTTTTTTTAATTTAAGGTCTCTCAGATATTTATGGGAAGCATGCGGGTCACAGTAGTATGAACATGTTCTACGATGTGAAGTCAGTGTACAAAATACAGTCCGAATGCTAGTTTTAGACAGAGTTGGTGAAAAATTCCAGCCCAGGATACTTCCAGATTCCAGTCCAGCCCAGCCATTGATGTCTGTAGGCCACTTCGGATATCATCATGACATAGTTTATACTTCACATATTATAAACCCAAATCTAGAGCCTCATCGTTAGTCTATAACCGCTGCGAATATAATTTGAGCCCCGAAACACCTGAGGAATGAAGTGCCGGCACAGCAGTACCTGTAAATTCGTAGTCATGAACGCATCTTTTTTCACACTACGTCTTGCAGGGACAGAGATCAGATTTTGATAATTCCCGTCCCTACAAGGAAAGACTAGGCATGCGTGGGCATTCGAATTTTGATGACTACTCACGCTTTTATCCATTGTGCCAATTCCACATTCCCTCTCATCTTCATATACATGTGAAAGGTTGTTCATGTATGAGCAGTTTGAGAAACGAACAACGCAGTCTATCAATAGCCAGTGGCCATTCAACATGGTAGCTCAGTCCACTGGAACTCGAGTGCACGGTCTTCCCTGAAAGAGAAACTATGAGACTTTTAGAAGATACCAAGCATCCGTTATAGATTCCAATTCAGATTCTACAAAATTCGACTGACATCGAAACGTGTCCACCAGGGCACAAGACACAAAAAGAGCAGGTTTTTGGAGAAGATGGTTATCTCCATGCAGGGCAGATATTCTCCTGCTGTCAACCAATGACGTCAGAAAGACTGGACTCTATCATAAGTGTGTACTGTTATAAAGTAATAAATTTTTAAGCTTGCACGAGTGACAAAATTCTGTTGGAAGCATGGCGGTCACGCATCTAGATTCTAGTCATTCTAGTCACTCACTCTAGCGCAGCGTGCCGTGTGAATCATAGAACTTGTGGGTGGAAGGGCGTTGTACATGTTCAAATCTACGTTTGCTGAGAGATTCCTATCGGTTGAGAAATCATCAGTATGGATCACATTGCCTTATTCGGAGCCCTTATTGTGGTTATCGGACTCAGCTCTTCCGAAGTGCAAGCCTCGGACCCGGAGCTTACTGTCGATTTTGCTGCACCTCCCGGTATTGATGGAAGTTTCTTCAGATCTGTTCGGCTGGAGAATGTTACGATAGATTCACCCTACCTTGCAACGGTGACTCCGATCAATCAGTTCAGCTTTCCGGCTCTTTTCGGTCTCGGGATCTCTTCTGCTCTGGTGCAGTATCCTGCAGGAGCTCTCGATGTTCCTCACACCCACCCTCGTGGGACTGAACTTCTTTTCCTCATAGAAGGAAGCCTCGACGTCGGAATTGTGGACACCACCGGCAAACTCTTCACTGCAAGCATTAATCCTGGTGATCTGTACGTGTTTCCAAAGGGCCTGGTTCACTTCCAAATCAACCGCGGTGAAACACTGGCCAAGGCTGTGGTTAGTTTCAGCAGTTCCAACCCAGGAACCGTTAAGCTACCCATCAATCTCTTCAAAACTGATATTCCCGACTACGTCCTCATGAAGTCGTTTGGAGTGGGCAAGGCCGTCCTCACAAGTCTGAAGAATGCAGAAGTTAGCTAAATCGAGATCCAGATTTGTATCATATTTGTTAAATTTGTTGGTAAGCTGTACAAGCACATCGTTTAGTGTGGAAAAGATCAGTAGGACTGCGGACTAGACCATTTGGCAGCTAAGGATATGCATTTTAATGGTGATATTTACTGATATGGCTGTATGAAACTTTTTCTATAACTATAGCTTTAAGTCTACAATAATGTGGCAAATGCTGACTCTTCCTGGAAGTAAGTGTATTGCTTTATTATTCAGTGCACTTCTGTTTATTCACGTGTGATAGCGGTTCACGAGAAAATCTGCATTCTATGAATCCTTATTATGGTCAATGATGTCCTTGATTAAAGTGTTAACAAATCGAAGTACCATAAATCATCCAAATGTGATGTATACGTTGATTTTAGAAATATTGCCAAATTATTTGCTTCCATTCGAGATAAGGGATAGTTATAGAGAATCTCAAGCCTGAAGATGTATCGTCCATGCAGATTTTCATCCAGATGTCTAAACCCCCACCATTCTTGCAGTCATAAACTGACATTTCTTGAAGCCGGTGGATACTATATTGATATGAGAACCTCTTGAGAACTGGAGTATCCCGGTAGGTAAATTGATGTACTTGAATTGTGTTGCCTTCCGACTAGCAGCCAATCTTCAAGTCGTTAGGCCGAACTTGCTTCCAGAAAGCTGGTTGGCAGAGTGAATGACTCCATCACTGAATCACGGGTCCGTAGAGGTGCCAGCTAGAGTCTCATGGTCCCAAAATACACTCATTGCTCACCAGTTTGGTAATTTTGACATACACCTGCAGTTGGATTATCAGCATCGAAATGACTGCAGTCGGTTTCGATTCTTCTGCAGATAGATTCTCACTAAATGTCCAAAGGTTTACACTAAACGTCATACTATAAATCTAACCCTCGACGACGGAGTATCCATTCCATGAAGTTGGTTACACTTAAGTCTGACATAATCTGCGTCCCAGTAATAAGCTCCAGATTTATCTAAGGCTATTAACCGTCAAGCAGACTCGAAGTTAAATCTACATTTTAGCTGTCTCTAAATCATCCGTACTTTATCAGGTCCACCAGAATGTTGGATGGGGAGCAAATTAGCCCAACTCTAAGATGAAAAGGTTATCTGCCACTCACAAATCCGTACATCACCTGATCATATGTGTCATACTAAGTCCTTCAAGTCATCGTGTTAGAAGAAAAGCTAACTACGATTGAGTTCCTGACATAGTTTCTACTGGCTCTACCATTCAGCTGGCCGATTTAGTCTATTAGAGGCTTGAGGTTTTCCTTTAGACATTCACTAGTTCTGTAACAACCTATCACGAAGTCTTGTACTAAAGAACACATCACTTGCATGAGCACGTCTGTCGAATATCATGGAACTGAAAGACTTTAATAACAAGACTTGGTTGAAGGCATTCAGCTTAAAGTCGCAATAATTGATGAAAAGACACGGCATATATCTCAAGAGAACTGCCATCGTCGTTGCTGACACGTTGGGGTGTTGGGAAGGCGGCGAGCTTTACTTACCTCCATTATAATGCTTCCGTTCCGGCCTATCCATGCCATTTAAAGAATTCTTTGCCAGGAGCAGAGTGTAATTCCTCCCTGCTTTTCAGCGGATACCTTTATTGCAAGAGAGCCTCGCTTTTCCACCTATGCATCTCATAGATGTTTACTCCACTTCCAAATACTTTTACAAACACTTAGAGGCCTCAGGGTGGTAAATCAGGGTGGAAAAGGTGACGATTTGGTTTCATTTGTAGCGTACTAGCTCTTTCTAATCTTTTCTCTTGTATTTCAAAAATTAGCTTCTTGATACGAGGGCATAACTTTCAGCATTGCCGGGAGTGTTTGTCCTCCAGTAGTACGGTTTTCAAACGGTGATGCCTGCTGTTTTGGAAGCCAGTGCAGCATGCTTGCTCAGCTGTGGATAGCGGTCCGTGTGAGCAAAACTGCCAGTCCTGATAAGTCACCAAGGTCAAGGTAGACATCTCTTACAAGCTCTACTTTTATATCTACTACGCTGCGGGTGGCCAAGGAAAATCTGTGTATAAAATGCTTAACTGTGCTTTACAAGAGCTTTAAGAAGCGGGGTTGAATTCTAACATGGATCGATCATTTCCTGTCGAAGCTAGTCTTCGTTTTGCAATATTTCTGATGACTGGGATACTGGGAGTGCAAGGCTCGGATCCCGAGCTGACCGTCGACTTCGTGATTCCTTCTGAAGCGAGCCCTCCACTTCTTGACGGATCGTACTTCACATCTACAATACTGGCAAATGTGACTTTCTTGCCCTCAAACTTCGTTACAGTTACTCCTGCGAATGACGATGAGTTTCCTGCGCTGAAAGGCTTGGGCATCTCATGCGCACTATTTTCTTTTACTCCAGGAGCTGTGAATCCTCCGCACACTCATCCTCGAGCAACGGAGCTTCTGTATGTTATTCGAGGCGTTCTGGATGTGGGGTTCATCGACAGCAGCAACAAGCTGAGGACTCAAACTATAAAAACCGGTGACCTTTTTGTCTTCCCAAAAGGTTTGGTTCACTACGAGGTCAACAGACATCATAGGATTTCAAAAGCTTTAGCTTCATTCAACAGTGCCAATCCTGGGCTTTTAAGATTACCTACCAGCCTCTTCAAATCTGGAATTGCTGATGATGTGCTCCAGCGTTCTTTTGGAGTGTCATCGGCCATTATTCATGAGTTGAAGAACGCCACGGTCAACTGAATGTTCATCGAACTCTGAGTGCGATTCCTACAATCCAGTGAGTTTTGACACTGTGACATGTACAAGGGAGATCATGAATGTGCCCAATTGTCTTGACTGCGACCTTTTACTCGGGGACATGTTCTATGCATTTAGTTATTTTCTCACAAATAGTGTCACTTTAGCTGAAATTGATGTGTGGAATTTTTTGTGCAACATCTAACTAGAGGGTTTGGAGTGAGCACTGTCGATTTGGTTGCTTGAGTTCTGAAGATGTTCCAGTTCCATCTCTTCACATAAAATACACTGTACTTTTGTAGATTGTAGGAGCACCAGCTGTTGACGACTTGCCATAAGTTTGAAGGTTTTTCTATTCTAAAGGAGAAGGGCCTGAATAATATCGACCATGATTGGTTGTGATTGAACCTTCGGTGGAAAAACCTCTAAGAAACACAAAACATGTCATATGACTTAATGTGCACATTATCTAAGCTTCGTAATCTAGTAATGGCCAGTTCTTTCAAGCAGTCAGATTTCGGGTCTTCGACTTCTTGGCACTACGCGTATCTGCTATACTTCCGCTTGAAGTCTGACACAGATAAAGTTTTCAGTAACATGTGCAAATTGCTGTTGTTGGATTTTCTCCATCTTAATTGTGTCAATTCATCTCCACTGTTGAAACCGTCAAGTTGCGCAGGTCTTTGTTAACAAGTGTTGGATAGCATTTTCAAGCTTCGATCTTCTACTCCTATGTTCATGGGTTGAAATAGTCGATTTTGCATCAAGATTGCATGACGGTCAAAGAAGCCGAGATTCTGTCTTTCATTTTCTTTTTGGGGTTAATATGTTTCTATGAAGATAACAGAACATATCATTATACTGGTTTTTCTGACAATGAATGATTCTGCTAAAACACTAACAGTTGAGACAGTACGCAGCTTCAACATGGTCAGATTTCCAACATAACCAACGTATGATGTTCATGCATGCATGTGTCTCACGGATGTCCCATATCATCCACCTCTGAGCAGAGCCAGTGCAGCATGTTCTCTCTTTTCTGAATCTGATTTTGAGATGTGCTTAAATATATACAACCACTTTAGCATGACTCGATTGTATCTTTCTCAAGTACTATGAGAAGCTCTGCAGTCAGAGAATGCAATCAGATGTCCTCTTGCAGAATGGGACCTGATATGCGCTCATTGCCTCGGTGTGGAGCCGAGATACTCAATGTAGAAAGCTTGGCAGACTCTCTTCATGTACAATACCCTGGTATTTTGGTGGAGCAAGACCTCCTCCTGATCCAAGCACTTCAAAATTGATTCCGTGATGGGCATTCCGAGTCTACCAGCAATTAAGTCACTTCCTTGTCCGTCCGGAGTGAGCAAATTGCCGTTGGACGCGAAATTGAAGCGGGCACTAGAAATAGGAGTGTTGCACTTGCCAAGCTCCAAGCTAAGCTGCTTTCCAGGCACTAAGAGAATGAAAAATTTAGCTCCAGCATTGCTTCAATAGAAGAAAGATCGCAATTCGACCAATATATCTCAGCATCTCATATCCCGGATTCCTTCTGGCTTTAGCCATCAGTCTAGGACATGGTGCAAAGTTTTTCAAACTACTGCCTGCGACCTGCATCGCAATTCGTCTCCCCTCGAGTGACGGTGGTTGATGCTAATGTGGAAATCCAGAAGGGCTTTTCATCTCCAACGGCCTCGTTACGACTATAAGTATGAACGCATATATTATGTTCCTACATCACTTATGCTGGAAGAATCTCTGTAGGACGATCCAGTTGTTGACCTCTATGCAATTCGACTCATTCAGAACTGCATCCATCGAATACTAATGTTATTTGTCACATTCTTCGAATACTGGACGAGGATCTCCGTTCACGGAGCACGATACGACCATGATAGAGTTCTACCTCACTGGGAATCGAGGTAGTGGCGGTTGCAGTCCGATAGTTATAGAACTCAAACCAGCTTTCTTACTACATGCAGTACATTCGTTGATGAAAATCTGATGCGAATAAGGCGTGTTAGAATCACACTACTGTTACTGTTAGAGTGGTTACATTCACAATTTAGGTTTACGATTTGGGGTTAGGGTTTAGGTTTAAAGAACGTTGCTCCTATATATATATAGATATATAGGAGCGCACTCATTTTGTAAAACACAGTAACTAGCTACCTGGATTCTACCATGGTGTTCAAGAGTAAAAGTATTTTCTCAATACTTATGTCAAGATTGCGAATGTATTAGTTTCCTTATGTTGCGAATGTTAGCTTCATTATTTTCCTCCACACTCCTTTAAGGCATCATGGACACCTTGAAGTAAGCGAAGTAAATGGATCCGATTTAGAAACACGATGGAATCGAAAATTACATTTCTTATGCTGCGGGAATGCGGGCTATTCTGCGCAGGAAGAAATGCTGGGCGGCAGTTGAGAAATGCACTACTCTTCCGACGCTTCTACCAATACTCGATGTCCTCGAAAGAGTTTTCCATGTTTCTCTCTGTTATCCATCTTCTCCGAAAACTGGAGTACTGTACTTCCTTTCCTTCTTCTTCTTTCTATTTATGATGTCAGACTAGGTCTCCGGGTGGCCCCGCCCAATCGAAACTCTCTTTTCTTGTCCGAACAATGGAAGAATGTGGGTTCTCGTCTTTTAGTTTATTTATGTTCATTGACAATTTTCGTTCTCGATCCTGCATTGACCAAAACTCGATGTCCCCGAAAGAGAGACAGATCAAGCACGTGCGGAAGTAGCGACTGCTAATCAAGAACCAAAGGCGGGGAACGAAGAAATCCAAGGTAAAATCTATAGTGTTTATTTAAAAACGTGACGAGGCCATCATCACATGTGTGAGCCATACTTCATGTTCAAAAGAAATCGAGACTCTCTTGCAGTCGCTAGCAAAGATTGAAAGCAACTATTACGTCGAAAACTTTAAGATTTCACTACGTGGGAGGGCCAACTCACCGAAGCTCATGTACTTATAGTAAATGACCTTTGGTACACGCTTCACGTAATCGTGTGCCAGATTAAGGGTCTTGGTCTTCTCCACAGCGGAAAAACGCTAGTAGATGATGGTGCACAGGCACTCGTCGGTCCACTTCAGATATCTCACCAGTTTACAACACTGACTGTCGTAAGCGGGAGGTGTGCCAGTGTCGTAAGCGGGAGGTGTGCCAGTATTGCCGACGTTCGTGAGGCATGACTAAACGTGATGGTCTGGAAACAGCTATGTTGTGCCGCCACAAGATCCGCAATTAAAACCGCAATGAAGCACACTACGACAACATAGGAATAGCGGCAACAGCTGAACCAGCAAGAACTTGAACTCCATATAATTTTGTATTGCAAGATATGACATTATGTCCCAACCACATCACCGTTGTTGTCGGTGTCAATACTCAACGTGCTCCAACTCAAATATAACCTGCATGTTAAATCGGTCGCTCGGCCGCCTTGTTTTGTGTGCAGTCTCTTGTATTTCAACCGCTAGTACCGCTTTAACATGATCAAGCAGCATGCATGGGTGGTGTGGAGTTGCGTGGACATATTCATCAGCTATCCTCCGCAGCGCAACATCCAAAGTTGGCGTTGACTCAAATTGTGAAATACACATGGGCTGCATCAACCACCAATGCTTATCAAACTCGTCCACCAACAAAGATATTGTATGAGCCTGGAATGCATACTTACAAGTAAAATGCTTACACATTGTTGTTGAAAAAATGCAAAGACTCCCATGTTGCTCATCTGGTGATGAACTGATCATTTTGTACAGCTTGTACGCTTGTTTCATCCTTCCACATAAATGTTGTCAAGAACATCGCAAAACATATGCGCAAATTGCATCTCCGCAATGGTGCGCTCTCCTGCGTTTTGTTGGATAATTATTGCAAGTTGGCCGTTGCATGCAAGCTGTAGCGCAGTATCCACTGACAAAAGACAACCTACGGAGGAACTCAGTCATTTTTTCAATGCAGCATGCGCACTTTCCACGCGCAAGATGCAAAAATGTCCGTAATGCTTCTTACCGCATAGAAGCACGACAAAAAACATGTAAAAATTAGCAAAATAATATTAATATAGAAAAAAATGCGTCTAAACCACAAATATTGTATCAATAAGTCAAAAACTTCATCAATACCTACATTTTGTTCTAAAGAAACCAAGTAGGAACTAGCCAGAAGGTGTCGCACATAGTAGCAAGTTGTGCGTCATAGGCTTCAATGGTTGTGAAATTTACCAACACACTCAAAGCATCCAAAAACCTTTTTAATCGACCGGCCTGCAGGTATCCAGAGGCGCTTTTTTTTTTACGTAAGTTCCAGACGTCTTTTGCGGTGCAAGTGTCCCTTCATTATGACATAGTGTCGTAACAATTCTTCCGACCGTAATACCAACACGACTGAGAGTAAACGATGTCTTTCGTTGATCTTTTAACTGACGTCCTTGCGGATGAACGGTGAAATGAGCCAGGACGTTGTAATTATGTTGGGTAGATTGGACTGGTATCTCCCATACAAGTTAGGCTTATCTTTCTTCTACGCCAAATACTCGGCTGTTGATCTATGTTTTGAATTGACAGCCAATGCTATGACTGGGTGAGTTGCGCTAGAGAGTATTTTCATGGACATTTGGTTTGTTCCAATGGGATCACGCATAATCGAGTTCTTTGATAGCTCCATTTTTTTGTTACCCATCTTGCGTCTGCGCTTAATCACAACAACGTAGCCCTGATTCAACGCGTAAGCTGGCAAAGCCAATAGTGCAACGTCTTATGTTGTGTGGCAGATCTCTGGCAGTGGAGTGAGCTGGAAATGTGAATCTGCATCAGTTTTTATGTCATGTATGTGAGCTGAGCTGCGAATTGAACTGAAAACTACTTAATATATTAAAGAAATAAGTGGTATAAGACATCAAAATATCCTTACACATATAATGTTTCACTGTTGACACAAGATTTATTGTGGACAGACAAAGGACTTTTATCAAATGAAGTTTGATTTTCTCCCCCAAAAGCTTAAGTTGTTTCTCCCAAAGATATATGTCATAAAAGTGTACACAACATCATGAGGTCCGCAGAATATTGATCCAACTTCTCTATTGTTAAAATTTCCTTTGCTGAATTTCAAACTTAGCATAAGTTGCAATAATGGCAAAAGTAAAAGCTTTACATTTAATTCCATGAGCTTGCTGAGCAAACAACTATTTTCCAAAACATTTTGTTCAATTAAAAAAGAACATATCATCTTTTTTTCTAAGAAAAATTAATTGAAAAGAGCTCCGTATTTCAAATTAGTTTTGAGAACAACAATGCAAAGTGCCAACTCATATGTGATGCAAAATAAAAATGACGCATAACTAAATACATAGACTCTAATAAGCAATCAAGTGCTGTCTTTTGTTTTTGAGTACATACCATAACAACTAAGGTACTTGAATATGAGCTTCATTTTGCCTATATATTTATTCCTTTGTTTTGTATAGCTGTTCGATCCCTCACGAGCTGACCTAATGTTATTCTATGCTGAGCACATTCACAAAATTATACTGTCCGAATGAATCAACTATAATACGAACTCATTTACTTAAAAACTCATTAGGATAGTGCAAATGTGCCATGTCAATGACTGAATTTCACAAAGATTCATAAGCAAATGGAGTACAAAAGTCAGAACACACAACTGCTTTGCACAGAAATGAAAAACTAGAAGTAACTAGACATTTAGTCATTGTTTTGTAAACAAAGAATGCAAAGTATAGGAGTAAAAGATATACAGATGGAAGTAAAGGTAAAAAAAAATGCTGAAGAGGGAGGTTGGAGTATAAATGATACCAACTGAATATGCAAAGCTCCAAGTCATTGAACAAAGCTTTGAAAATCTAGAGGAATTTTGACAAATAGATTTCATGTCAGTGTTGATTCCTTGCTTGGACCTACAACAATTCAACTTCATGAGAATGTGTAAACGATCAAGCACAAACGATTGACAGACAAGTTGCATCGAGTAATTCTTGAGGGATTGGATCTTCTTCTGGCAAGACAAATTGAGCAAGTTTTATCAAATAATAGCTTCACAATGACTGTGCGTCATGTGTCAGTGTCTTAGCTGATTTGTTTTCTTCAAAATGCAAAAGCAGGTCGTGACATATTGCGAACATGGTTCGCGTGTTTTGTTAAGATCTTTACTAGAATTGAGCCAGGAGACAACTTCGAGATAGAGGAGAAAGAAAAAAACTCCGCCAACTCTCGAAGAACATCCTATTGTAGAAGTAGCAACCAGCCACCCCCGAAAGCTATAACTCATCCCATCCCGGCATCAACCAATCTCAGAAGATAGTATAGTAGGGTGAGGAATAATTAGCCAAAAGTAAGGTTTAACTAGCCGTTTACTATTTTATTTCAAACTATCTTAAAAAGATATAACACATACAATCCATATGATGTTATCCATATGTAAATTATTATTGAAAGAAAGGAATCCATGCATTACATAGATATCTTTAAGTTGTGACACACATGTTCAAATTCCAACTTCATTCATTCCAACACATTCCAACTTCAAATGATTGTACCCTATATGTATGAATACAAACTTAGTAGATCAGATTGTCACATTGGGTACTTGTGGAGGTCCAGCACAAAATAATCAACTTTTATCAATGTTGAGCATCTTCGGAGCTCCCATGTTAACTAAGGAAATGTTACTCTTTAATAGAGCATTTATGCTCCATTTGTTTCATTTAGTATGCAGACAAACCCACGACAGGATTAACACTTCTCACCTTGGGCTGTAGTCCAGCTTGTCGGAAGATCTAGATTCTACACCGAGAGATCTACACATGATTCAGACATAAGCTTGCCCGAAGTCATTGCTAACGTAATGCGAGGATGTGGCCCACGACTTCATGGTTGTTGCGATCTACTATTCACTTGATGTATCATGAGCTCTCGGAATAGAATGCCTTAAATGATGCATGCGGATACTGTGGTTCCAGTTGGAGATGTATCCAAAATTGCACCAGTAGAGCATCGAAACGCTCTTACACCACAAGGTTTAAACTATTGATAAAGAGGGGTGGAACAATACGGAATCGAAACTTGAGAGCGCAGCCGTGATGGATTATCTGTAAACGTTTACATTCTAACTTAATCGTGGATCGTTGATACGGCATGGTGCAGTAAATTCAAAGATACGTATGAAGTGCATTACTTCATGACTGCCCAGAGATCTCAAGCCGATTCTAAACTTGTTGAAACCATCACCTCACTAGGTTTGAGGAAGTGTGCGATAATCACGTGAAGGAGACAATCATCAGATCAGACTTTCATTCGCTTCGAAGAACTTGGTTTATAGAAATGCATGAACAACTTTTCTCCAGATGATAGATTTATAATTTTCTCAAATCTGGAGAGTACTGGCATGGAACTAGCTTCGAAAAGAATCACATTTCAGAACATAATCGTCCGAATGGCACTTACGTGCCATAAATGAGCTCCTGAATTTGGTCGAAGTGGTTGCGCTCGCAAGGGGCTTCGGCTCCCGAGCCCTTCAGTCTCTCGAATTAGAAGGTGCAAATGTCGATTTGTCTTTAAAGTTAAAAAATCTGGATCCATAAGCTAGCACTAAACAGCAGCTACACTTGGTTTTTTCGCTGGAAATTGGCATTCTTCTTAAGGTGACTAGCTTCCTTTAAATGTTTGCAAGATGTAGACATGGTGGTACAGCGTTGGATGAGCTCAGTATTGGACGTGGAATAACTCCTCCGATATGATCCTGGAATGGAGACTGTTGGAAGATTACAAGGTATTTATCGTCGAGCCTTTTAAGTTTATTTTATAGGTACAATCAGCCTCCGTGGGACTTCTCATGCACTTGCCTTAGATTCCTTCGTGTCCGAAGGGTATAAATATCCCTCAAAGTGAGCATTTGATTCAAACAAGCGAGTTCAGTCCTTGATCATTGGCAAGCTCATTAGCCTCTGGTGAGGACCACAAGCTATGTCACTCTATCTTCATTTAGAATGTAGAGAGAGAACAAGAGTCGAGACTGACACAATTGATCCCAGAGTGTGGATTCTATACAATGTAGCTGCGGTGTGATTGAATTTGTCTATCCAATTGTTGCTGATCGATTTCATGACAAAGTTCAGATCTTTTGCTTGGTCTCATAAACTCGAACTTGGCTGCTGCATCATTGTCACATTTTCCTTCGTCAATCTTGTCTTGCAGGTACATACCTGAAGATGGCGCCCTCTAGCAAGGTGGTGTTCATGTTGCTCCTCATGACCTTGGCATTCAGCCATGGTCAGACTTCAGCCAACGGAGAGACCATCACGGAGAAGATACAGCATGGGCTCACGGAGGTCGCAACTACTGCTGAGAAACTCAAGGTTGCAGCAGAGAAGATCGACATTGTCAATGCTCCCCAACAGAGTATCACTATCGCTCAGGGACTGACCGCCATCACTGCCAAGCTTGGTCATGTTATCGAAAATGTGAATAATGAGACATTACCTGCACTTGCAGAGACGGATGCAAAGCTCATTGTGAAGGCCCTCGAGGAGTTTGTAAAATATCACCAAGCAATGCTAATAGTTGTCATGGAGAAGAATGAGCTCCCAACTATGATTGCCTGCTCCTTCCCTATCAGGATGACACTGGTAAGCATGGACGCCGCGCTCCAAGTCTTTGCCTCTGATCTGATTGCGCTCATTCCAACCCAAAAGCGAGATGCAGAGAAGCAATTTTCTAGCCTTCATGACTTGCTGAGAAACACCTTGAACAAATACAGCGTCTCCTTCCGATCAGCTGAATCAGACGCAGCGCTCACCGCCACCACAGAGAAGATCGTCGAGGGACTGAAGACTGTCACGGATATGTCCGAACAGCTCAGAGTTGCGACGCAGAAGATCAACATCTTCAACGCTCCTCAGCAGGGAGCGGTGATAGCCAGTGGATTTGCAACCATCATTCAGAAGGTCTCTGAGGGAATCGTCAGGGTGGACCGAGTCACTTCAGGTCCGCTTCCCGACGCTGATGCCCAGCTCGTAGTGGACGCCCTCACCACATTCGTGCAGGTCCACCAGGCCTTGCTCTATGTGGTGATTGGCAAGCACGGCATCCTTACGATGATTCCGTTCTTCGAGCCCATCAGAATGGCACTAGTGAGTCTGGAGGCTGTCATCGACAGGTTGGCGTTCGACTTGATTGCTCTAATTCCTACTCAGAAATCCTCCGCAACAATTCAGTTCCAGAAGCTGGACGTCACGTTGAAAGACGCCGAGGATACCTATAGCTTCCCGCTGGCATCCGCTGAATCAGATGCTGCTCTCACCGCCACCACAGAGAAGATCGTCGAGGGACTGAAGACTGTCACGGATATGTCCGAACAGCTCAGAGTTGCGACCCAGAAGATCAACATCTTCAACGCTCCTCAGCAGGGAGCGGTGATAGCCAGTGGATTTGCAACCATCATTCAGAAGGTCTCTGAGGGAATCGTCAGGGTGGACCGAGTCACTTCAGGTCCGCTTCCCGACGCTGATGCCCAGCTCGTAGTGGACGCCCTCACCACATTCGTGCAGGTCCACCAGGCCTTGCTCAATGTGGTGATTGGCAAGCACGGCATCCTTACGATGATTCCGTTCTTCGAGCCCATCAGAATGGCACTTGTGAGTCTGGAAGCTGTCATCGACAGGTTGGCGTTCGACTTGATTGCTCTAATTCCTACTCAGAAATCCTCCGCAACAATTCAGTTCCAGAAGCTGGACGTCACGTTGAAAGACGCCGAGGACACCTACAGCTTCCCGCTGGCATCCGCTGAATCAGATGCTGCTCTCACCGCCACCACAGAGAAGATCGTCGAGGGACTGAAGACTGTCACGGATATGTCCGAACAGCTCAGAGTTGCGACCCAGAAGATCAACATCTTCAACGCTCCTCAGCAGGGAGCGGTGATAGCCAGTGGATTTGCAACCATCATTCAGAAGGTCTCTGAGGGAATCGTCAGGGTGGACCGAGTCACTTCAGGTCCGCTTCCCGACGCTGATGCCCAGCTCGTAGTGGACGCCCTCACCACATTCGTGCAGGTCCACCAGGCCTTGCTCAATGTGGTGATTGGCAAGCACGGCATCCTTACGATGATTCCGTTCTTCGAGCCCATCAGAATGGCACTTGTGAGTCTGGAAGCTGTCATCGACAGGTTGGCGTTCGACTTGATTGCTCTAATTCCTACTCAGAAATCCTCCGCAACAATTCAGTTCCAGAAGCTGGACGTCACGTTGAAAGACGCCGAGGACACCTACAGCTTCCCGCTGGCATCCGCTGAATCTGACGCTGCTCTCACTGCCACCACACAGAAGATCGTCGAGGGACTGAAGACTGTCACGGATATGTCGGATCAGCTCAGAGTTGCGACGCAGAAGATCAACATCTTCAACGCTCCTCAGCAGGGAGCGGTGATAGCCAGTGGATTTGCAACCATCATTCAGAAGGTCTCTGAGGGAATCGTCAGGGTGGACCGAGTCACTTCAGGTCCGCTTCCCGACGCTGATGCCCAGCTCGTAGTGGACGCCCTCACCACATTCGTGCAGGTCCACCAGGCCTTGCTCAATGTGGTGATTGGCAAGCACGGCATCCTTACGATGATTCCGTTCTTCGAGCCCATCAGAATGGCACTTGTGAGTCTGGAAGCTGTCATCGACAGGTTGGCGTTCGACTTGATTGCTCTAATTCCTACTCAGAAATCCTCCGCAACAATTCAGTTCCAGAAGCTGGACGTCACGTTGAAAGACGCCGAGGACACCTACAGCTTCCCGCTGGCATCCGCTGAATCTGACGCTGCTCTCACTGCCACCACACAGAAGATCGTCGAGGGACTGAAGACTGTCACGGATATGTCGGATCAGCTCAGAGTTGCGACGCAGAAGATCAACATCTTCAACGCTCCTCAGCAGGGAGCGGTGATAGCCAGTGGATTTGCAACCATCATTCAGAAGGTCTCTGAGGGAATCGTCAGGGTGGACCGAGTCACTTCAGGTCCGCTTCCCGACGCTGATGCCCAGCTCGTAGTGGACGCCCTCACCACATTCGTGCAGGTCCACCAGGCCTTGCTCAATGTGGTGATTGGCAAGCACGGCATCCTTACGATGATTCCGTTCTTCGAGCCCATCAGAATGGCACTTGTGAGTCTGGAAGCTGTCATCGACAGGTTGGCGTTCGACTTGATTGCTCTAATTCCTACTCAGAAATCCTCCGCAACAATTCAGTTCCAGAAGCTGGACGTCACGTTGAAAGACGCCGAGGACACCTACAGCTTCCCGCTGGCATCCGCTGAATCTGACGCTGCTCTCACTGCCACCACACAGAAGATCGTCGAGGGACTGAAGACTGTCACGGATATGTCGGATCAGCTCAGAGTTGCGACGCAGAAGATCAACATCTTCAACGCTCCTCAGCAGGGAGCGGTGATAGCCAGTGGATTTGCAACCATCATTCAGAAGGTCTCTGAGGGAATCGTCAGGGTGGACCGAGTCACTTCAGGTCCGCTTCCCGACGCTGATGCCCAGCTCGTAGTGGACGCCCTCACCACATTCGTGCAGGTCCACCAGGCCTTGCTCAATGTGGTGATTGGCAAGCACGGCATCCTTACGATGATTCCGTTCTTCGAGCCCATCAGAATGGCACTTGTGAGTCTGGAAGCTGTCATCGACAGGTTGGCGTTCGACTTGATTGCTCTAATTCCTACTCAGAAATCCTCCGCAACAATTCAGTTCCAGAAGCTGGACGTCACGTTGAAAGACGCCGAGGATACCTATAGCTTCCCGCTGGCATCCGCTGAATCAGATGCTGCTCTCACCGCCACCACAGAGAAGATCGTCGAGGGACTGAAGACTGTCACGGATATGTCCGAACAGCTCAGAGTTGCGACCCAGAAGATCAACATCTTCAACGCTCCTCAGCAGGGAGCGGTGATAGCCAGTGGATTTGCAACCATCATTCAGAAGGTCTCTGAGGGAATCGTCAGGGTGGACCGAGTCACTTCAGGTCCGCTTCCCGACGCTGATGCCCAGCTCGTAGTGGACGCCCTCACCACATTCGTGCAGGTCCACCAGGCCTTGCTCAATGTGGTGATTGGCAAGCACGGCATTCTGACGATGATTCCGTTCTTCGAGCCCATCAGAATGGCACTAGTGAGTCTGGAAGCTGTCATCGACAGGTTGGCGTTCGACTTGATTGCTCTTATTCCTACTCAAAAATCGTCGGCAATAATCCAGTTTCAAAAGCTGGACGTCACGTTGAAAGATGCCGAGGACACCTACAGCTTCCCTCTTGTATCAAAAACTTATGCTCAGACAGAATTTCTGAGGAGTTGAATCTACGAACGATGCTCACGTTTCCTTTCCGAATTACTCGAGAAGATCAACGAGCTGAGTTCCTGAGTACTATGACGAGAGCATTTTATGAGAATAGGACATGATGAAAACAAGGTGGACGTGGTCGTTCCATCGTTTCCAGTTTTGTTAGCACCGTCGAAACGAACTGAAAAAAATTTACCTTCTGGTGCAGTTTGAAACTTTGTATGCATGGACATAACATTTGGTATCGTGTCTGGACTGCTTTACCAACAGTTCTCGGAATACCTGTTAATTGATTTTGTTAATCTGAATAAATATTTCTTCGATTCCAATGTCAAAATTTATGTTTTGAGTTTTGTATTACATTTCGTATAAGTGATATTAAATTTCGTAAATATGTTATCTTCATGATTAAATTTCATTTCATTTAATTTCATTATAAAAAAAATATAATTTCACGTCATCAAATTTTTTATTTTTTTTAAATGTATATTTCCGCCAACAACACTCTCAAAAATTTCCATTCATTGTAATGATCAAATGAATGATAATTTTTTTAAAATTTTATTATAAAAGTCATAATGTTTTCAATATCCTTATATCAATTATAATTTATTATTCTTTATCATATCATTCGGGTCTATCAAGTTATTTGGATAATTGAATTTCAAAATCACAAAAACTTTTCAAGAATAAATCCGTATTACAAGAACAATTCTGCTTCAAATTTCAATTAAAACTCACCTGTACGAATATCTCTTGTAAACAAATAAAGAAAGTTGCAACTTATTTCGTCTAGTCCAAGTAACGTGGACTATCAAGTTAAGCAAACCAGCGGTCACATAGTAGCGCGTTCAGTCTCTAATTGCAGTCACACATGACAAGACATCTGTTATATATCACCGCGACAACCTATATATGATCGAGACTACGACCGCAAATCTGATCCTCGAGGCTATTTTTGGAAATTGACGACTATTTTTCGTCAGTTTCCACATCGTCCTCTTGATATATCATATGAGAACCAAGGGAACCGCATCTCTCATTTAGCTCTAATTTGAATGTTTTGCTATAGGACAACCATCGCGTTTCATGACATCATCATAATTAGCGCATCTGGAGGTTGGTTCTCAGACAATAAAGTACCTGAAAGGCACCATGGGGTTACACTAACGTAACCTGGGGCTCATGCGCAACTCCTTCAAATCAACTGGTGCATACGCTTTCAAACTCGCAAGCGGAGCAGTCTCCAATAAGCAAAACCTTGTCAAAATTTCATCGACCGAGAACGATTACAAAGCCCTATCCTTTGGAGAACAGGAAGCCATCTAGTTGCAACAACTTATACAAGAAGTCAACTCGAAAGCGATGACCCCAATAAAAATATCGTGCAAAGACGCGAAGGTAACTTTTGCACTTCAGATTCCTGGCTCACTAATCTAGTCAAGAACAGTTCACTGTGACAGCAAAAGTGCGATAAAACTCCCAGAAAAAACTCTGTCTTCCATGCAAAGAGTAAATACACAGGGATCCAACATCATTTTATTAGAGAGCGGTTGGCTCTTGGAGATATTACAGTTCAATTTCTCTCGACCAAGTTACAACCGGCCGACATGCTGACGAAAGCACTGCCTAGATTGAAATTTAGCGAGCATAGACACTACCTCGGTCTTCTAAGTCTCTGAACACTCTGTAATGACTCACTTGCACTCTAGATTCATCATTTTTGAAGGTCACGTTGTGAATTAGAATAGGTCAGAATGCGTCAGGCAGAATAGAGATTCTGCCTGACGCACTCCACACTAAGAGAGTGTGTTAGAATTACACTTCTGTTACTTACGTTTACAATTTAGGCTTAAGATTTAGGGTTAGGGTTTAAGACTGTTGCTCCTCTATATATATATATATATATATATGAGCACACTCATTATGTAAAACACAGTAGCTGATTATCGTAACCAGTGGTTTCTAACATGGCGCGCATCGGAATCGATCAACTCGGGCCTTTATCACCTGTGGAAAGTTGATGTAGAGCACGGAACCTTGGAGATGGCGCTCATTGAGGTCCCTCACACTTGGATCTGCAGCGTGAAGATGATGAATCATGGAGGTAAAAATGCCTCCATGATTCATCATCGAGTCATTTTTACCTCAAAACGTGCAAGTGCAGACCGAAGCTTTGCAGTGCAGTGTGCTGATGCGTGCTGTAAAGCTTATGCTGGTCGTCTCGTTCCAAGTCGGCTTTCCTCCAGACGAGGTTACACTGTCATATCGTGCTGCAGTCAGAATTCACGAGCTTGTGAATTTTGAGAGCGCCGCTACCAACCATCCACCATCGAGTCCTCTCATAATGGTGCAAACTAACACTGAGTGGAAATATATGTCCACGACCTTTGCATCGGACGATGCATGCATCTACATTTGTCCACGTTATAACTCTGCGTATAGAAACAGAATATTTTCGTACGAAGTCTACACTGGGATGTGGCTCTACGTCCTTCAGCCAATCCACTGGCAATGTTGGGAAGAAATTGCATTTAGTTTCAATCCGGTGGTTGCTAGAAATGATATATCGTACATTTCCATTTCATTTGGGGCCTGGTTTCACTTTCTTTGGAAATGAAGTTTCTCAATTCTCTTCATACACTAAGTTTTGAATTCATTTGAAAGTTTCCGAGTAAAAGCATTTAATCTTCGGAATTTCAACCTCATTTAGTTGTATAGTTTTCTAATAAACTGTAGGATAGTATTTTTTTTTGGGTGTGATCTTTTCAGTATATACTTGAGACGCAGCTGGACAGATCCTAATTGTCTAACCATGGTCCAACAACGTTTATCAAACATATTTTGCAAGAACATACTCTCGACTCTTTTAGAATACTTTTACTCATCTTTCAATGCTTAAGCCTGGCAACAAATTTATCTACCAACAAGGAAAACATTTATGCACTTGAAGCAAATGTTTCGAGTACATCAAGTATTTTAGAACCAAGAGGAAGAGTACATCGTCCGTGGATATGGTTTCAGGATTAGATTCTGTAACGTATTATGTCGAAATACACAATTCTATACGTATGTACCTGTACACAACCTTCCCGGTTAGCTTTTCCGCCTCTTTACTTCCGGCATATCCAAACCGCAAGTGCTGCGCTTGAGAAGATTCTGTGACTCCAGTCTGCTCTTGCAAATTCGTACCATTCTCGTGAGAATCTTCCTGCTCACGTACAGCAGCTTAATCGTTGCATCCGTGCCTAGAGTCTCCATCAAAGATTTCATTGTTGGAGACTGAGACGCTGCTTCTTCCTCCAATTCAAAGATTTCTCCTTCTGAAGCCATCAATAAGATAAGTAATAACCCACCAAAGGCTAAAACTGCAGTATGGTGGTAAAAAGATCGAACCCACAGGGACAGAGGCAACACACAGAGTAAAAGTGTCACGTTTAACAGACTTTTGTAGAGTTTGAATTCTAGGCGACTGTCACTCCCAGAAATACTGCAGTGCTCGACTCGGAGGCTCGACTCGGAGGAGGATCTCAACTCGGAGGATGCTCGGAGGATGCACGGTACAGCGTGGTCACTCAACACACACACACACACACCTGAAACTGGCAAAAAGCACAACTCGGAGGTCGGTCAGGACCTCCGCTTCGGATTTCAGGAGGAAAGTGTCTCACAAGTTCACTCAGAGGTTCTGCAGGTAGTGCCTCCCACTCCGGCTTTTACTGCCCTTCCGCCAGGAACTAGCGGGGGTACCCGGACTGGACTTCCCACTTCGGAACGAAGCCTCTACATACGCCGTGGACGTCACCCTCGACTATCACACCAAACGCAGGGAGTGCAGACCCGACTGAGAACTTACTGAAAACACGATCCAGTAACACACACACAACCTGAATTACAAACCAAGGTTTACACGAAGTAATGAAACTTCACATTGGCATTCAGGGGAAACTTCCCGTAGGAGTACAATCAGGATATGTCACTCGAAGGAGTAAGGGGGAACTGTTCAAGTATCTAACTCGCAGCCGGCTCTGAGTATCAGAAATCACCCGCAGGTGCAGATCCGCACTACTCAAGTCTCTAACCGGGTGCTAGCTCTGAACATTCAGCCGAAGGCCTTCAACTACAACATACGGTAACTTCGCTATGCTGCAGCTTCTCTACGTGGCGCCAGGACCAAAATGCACAAACACGCCAAGAAAGTGAGTTCGTGATCTGCACTTCCGAAACTGGAAGAGTCCCAGGGCAAAACGCCTTGAACTACTTTATACTCTCTAAGGTCCTAACTAACACTACGCTACCCGCTAGGGTGCGAGCCGCAACAGATCCTACACTTGAGGAGTCGGCGGCTACCTTCCCCTCTAACTTACAACCTAAATCTAACCCTAACCCTAAATCTGAATCCTAAGCCTACTGTACAGAGCCGCCAGCGTCTTTACATCCGAGATCTGAGGCTGAATATTTGCAGGCATGCGTGGCCGACTGAGATCAACGGCCCCACCAAATTTCAGATCCATCCGACCGTCCATCGCAAAGATATGGACTCCGCAAGATCTCTGAACCGCATCCGGTTTGCCGACCTCGAGTTCGCCGACTCCGAGTTTGCCGACTTGAAGTTCGCCGACCTCGAGTTCGCCGACCTCAAGTTCGCCGACTCCGAGTTCTCCGAAGGCGTTGACCGCCGAAGACGCACTTCCGCACCTTTGCCTATTTGTAACAGTCACTCCCGACACCCATAACTCACAGATCCTTGATCCGTTTCAAGAGTTCTTGGGCTCGTTGGAACGAGCGCGTCGAGCTCTTTCTAACGAGACCCTAACTGAGTCAAACCGTTACGAGTTGAAAGAGTTATGCCGGTTTTATCCTTGGCCGAAGGCACACTGTCGAAGGCTTGTTATCTGTTATCGCCGAAGGCGCCCGCACGATGTTTCGCCGACTCCAAGTTCTCCGACCTCGAGTTCTCCGACTTGAAGTTCGCCGACCTCGAGTTCGCCGACCTCAAGTTTGCCGACCTCGAGTTCTCCGACTTGAAGTTCTTTGACCTCGAGTTCGCCGACCTCAAGTTTGCCAACTCCGAGTTCTCCGACCTCGAGTTCGCCGACCCCGAGTTTTCCGACCTCGAGTTTGCCGACCTCAAGTTTGCCGACTCCGAGTTTGCTAACTTGAAGTTCTTTGACCTCGAGTTCGCCGACCTCAAGTTTGGCAACTCCGAGTTTGCTGACTTGAAGTTCTTTGACCTCGAGTTCGCCGACCTCAAGTTTTCCGACCTCGAGTTTGCTGACTTGAAGTTCTTTGACCTCGAGTTCGCCGACCTCAAGTTCTCCGACCTCGAGTTCG